CAAAATATAAACGGTGTTTAGTTTATGTGTAATGACACTGGAAGGACTTTGATTTATCAAATCCTTTGAGTGGAAAGCTTTCCTCCTAATTTGAAGCAGACGGGTACTTTCCGTTTGAACTCAGGCAGTTTCGAAAGTACTATTTGCCAATGTACGACCACGTTTATTAATGGCTTCCGGTCAAATGTAATCTGATGTAGATGATGTAAACTGTGGTTCAAAGTAACCTTTAAAATCAAAGCCTAAAAAGATTTAGATTTGATATTGAGTATTTTATGGCGAAAATGATGAAATTCTACCACCTGTTTTTCTTTTCCTTTATTTAACGTCAATTTCTTTTATAGCTATGTATTTCCGACTCCCATCTTATACGACTCACATAAAACTGACTGAAGCCATGAAGTGGGAAGCCGGAAAAATAACCCCGAAATGAATAGCTGTAAAAGAAATTTACATAAAATAAAGAATAAGAAAAATAGGTTGCAGGAATTTCATCATTTCAGAATTTTTTTAAATTAATTTATTAACATCTACAACTGTATATGTATTATACACAACCAACAGATTGAATTTTATTTATGGATGTGACATTACTGACGTAATAGAGAAAGCAATCCATTGGCAACAGCTCTTGGGTCTCAGATCCATACCACGTTCGTTACCCTTTAATAAATAATAATAAAACCAATAAACCTTCCCCATAATACGGACAGATCGTCCTCTAGAAAACCCTGTTTTTCACAACCCTGTGGGCCGTGACTTTGGAAAAAAGTGTGTGTAAAATTTTATAGTTTTTGAATTTTAATGTGATCTGAGGGGAGAAATGTTCTAACTTATGTGACAATGTATGGACGAATGAATGGTCATGAACAGGCGGCCTATAGAGAACAATCTTAATTAATTATACATTCATATACACTGACAGGCAAAAAATTCCACCCAATTGATTTTTTTTTCATTTACTCGATAAAAGAAAATTCTGCCCTTAATATGGATCAATGTAATTACCAATAATTGTTTAAGCTATGTTTTAAATTGGGTATGTCAATTAGAGGTAAACACACTTAATTCTTAATTTAAAAAAAAGGATAAAGGATTTTTCAATGTTTACTTTTTACGGAATTTAAAATGTTTATTGGGTCCCATTTGAATTCTGAAGCAATAAACTGTTTATTTTCATCCTTGTTTTGTTAATTTCAATTTGTAAAAGTTAAAAATGACACTTAGTGCCGAGGTTGTTGTGCGTGGTGTGGCATTTATCGAAGATGGACGTTCCAACAGGTACGGCTATTGCCATCCCCAGGCGCAGTTCCCTACGAAACACAGCGAGACGCCGTTAGACGTTTTCGAGAAATTGGGTCTTACCAGGATGACCATTTTTTGACGTGGAGGATTTTGGGAAACCGGCACCTTACTGTTGTTCAATCGATACATCAGATCCAGGAAGTTCGAGGTGAACAAATTTCTAAAGGCACTGCTCGAAGAAGATTAAATCAGTATGGGCTAATGGCTTTTCGCCCTATAAGAGGACCACAATTGACCAGAAGACGAGAACACGCAGAGTTGCATGGCACGCATTTGCAAGAGAACACAGCCATTGGTCTTTGGACACTACAGTGATTAGTTTACTGTACTTTGTACAGATGAGTGTGGGCTTGAAAGAGTGTATAGAAGGGGAAATGAAAGGTACGAAGCCTGTAATTTTTCCCAGAGGCAACATTTTCAACGTGGCTCAGTGATGGTGTGCACGGGAATTTCAATGGAGAGGCGCAAAAAGTTGGTTGTTCATGGAGGGTCTTTGACGGCCACTCGCTATGTGGATGAAATTTTGGAACATCACGCGTTGTTTATCTTCGATGACATCAGCGATAATCCTACTCTAATGTACGATAAAGTCCGTCCACATGTCGATCGCATAGTACAAACATACCTTCAACAGCATAACGTCAGGGTCTTAGCCTGGCCAGCCCGTTCTCCAGACTTGAACCCCATCGAACATTTACGGGATGACCTCAAAGACGAATAAGAGCACGTTCATCACGTCCTGGTACATTCCACGGTCTTGAAAGGACTATTCGAGAAGAATGGGCTAACATCCAACAAAGAGACATTTTCTTGGTAATTAATTTTTTTTAAAAACTTTATTAGACACAGATTCATTATCACACGTTAAAAAACGTGAAATTTTTAATATATTAAAATCAGATCAAGTTATAGTACAAGTGAGTGGAATTTTTGCCTGTCAATGATTGGGTTGATTATGAATTGCGAATTGTGGAGGATGTTTTTTTGAGTAGTGTGGCGTTGTAATTGTTTATGATTGTTTTAATTGTGTTTATTGGCTATTGTATTGCATAGGATTTGCTTGTATGCTTGAATAATTTTTTGGTGAAGGGATCATTGACTTAGGTATATCAGGTAATAATCATTTAGCCGTTTTTATTGATGTATAATTAAGGTAGCGATCTGTGTTTATTGGTTTTTAGTACAATCAAAGATGGTGTTTTGTTATCTGTTTCAACTTCATTAGTGAATTGATCCTCACCACTTCAATAAATTATTGAATAACCGGTTGCTACATAACACTTTTTTTATATTGTTTGTCGTTAAGATAAGGGCACTCTCGACACGGCACGCAAGAATGACACAATTACACAGAAGACAACCACTTTGAGCCCTGAAGATGATCTCAATAAAGATCGAAACGTTGGCACGATAAAGAAAATGTTTTGCTGAAACCTACATCACACCAGACCGCATCTCACGATTTCTAAATAAATATCGATTAACGGTCACTAATCACCACACATTTCTACACGTTAAGATAAGTTTAGAGTTTTTTAAAAAGGTGGGAGGAATTAGATTATCATTTCGCAAAATTCTTTACCTACACTGTAAGTATGTAAGTTTAAGTATACCGAAAACATGCTATACCTTCATATTGAACTACTGCCTGATTTCCTAGGTAATAGTAAGTCAAAAGCTATATTATATCAGAGCCAAAGTTATAAAACAGCATCACCGGTGCTCGAGGTAGCAGTAGGAGCAGCGCCAGTCGATTTAGCGATAAGAGCAAAAATTGCGCAAAAAATGCCTGGAAATTAGGCTCGATAATTACGTAGTCCAAGAGGAGGAATGGCCCAAAAACGCTACACTTCAAAAAGCGAAACTTTTCCTTAAATCGAAAATCCTGAGCTATTGACAAATTGGATGGCAAAATAGTTCAAAAAGTCGATTAACCTAAAAATATTGTCTAAATGTAGAGCAGAAGATAGCCTTTCTCAGTTTTATTTCAAATTCTTCGTTTTATGTCTCTAAACTATCCACCGAATCTTAAAATTCCGTTTAACCAAAAATCAATTCCCAACAATTTACCAATTTTACTATTTAAATAATTTCTCCCATCACCCCAAGCTTTATTCAACAAAACCTATCCCTACCATCCCACAAGGCGTCTTAAGAGGAAATGGCTCCGCGACTTCCCTTCTGAGGAGTAGGTTGTGAGGTTTATTTAGTGAAGTGAACTGGGAGAATAATATTGATTATTTGCTTCCCACAATGTAAATATGTATCTAAATAGTTGTAAATGTATCATCGAATTAAATATTGTATCAGAAATTACAGATTGTAATAAAATATCTGGAAAAAATTCATTATAAAGTTTAATTTTCAACTATTGCAGAAGATTCGTCGTTCTTTTAAACCAGGAAAGTTAAAGAGCAGTAATTTGAAGTAATTGAATATAAAACGAATCCTGATGAATTTTGATGCCATCTGTTAGAACTTCCAGAAAGCTTTTAAATTAATTAGTTTCATAAATCTTTAAATAATTTAGGCACTTTTTGTAATTTATATTTTAAACGTGACTTCAAATTTGATTTATTTATTTTTTTTATATTTTTTTAAACACTAATTTATATTATTGCTTATACATACAATTCGGTGTTACACGGTATATTTTCGACTTAACAATTGAATTTTAATTAAATTTTGTTATTTACTATTAATAAAATAATACTATTAATATTAATAAAAATATTCATATAGATGTGAAAGACAAAACGCAGAAAGGAAAAGGCATAGTAGTGCCGGCTGTGAATATAATGACCATAGGTTTGCCGGCAAAAAAAAATCAATTTTTGTCCCTTATTTACTCAAACTTTGCACAAACTGTTAAACAGTCAACCGGTTGAACGAGTAATGAATAATGAATACTGAAGCATTTGTACACAATAGACCAAGGTAGATGTATTTTGTACATAACCTTTGTTTACCTAACTACGTCGTTGTGACGTTTTAAAACTTGCAAAAGATAAAATAATGGTCCAACGATATTTTTTTTATAAAAGTGTAATCCTCACAGTTTTTCCAAATTATAAACCTTTTAAACTGCCGAGCGTTTACTTATTCTTACATATATTCTGTAAATTATCATTGATTATGATACCAGTAACATTGCCATTTATAGATTTGAGGAAATTGGTCATAAAGGGTGAGTCGATCTTCGATTTTGTTCTTATTCGTAAATCGCGCATATTTGAAGAGTCAATCGCTGTTTATGGCTTGTAACTTTAGCGTTGGGGACCAATGGCTCGGACTTAATTCCATGAAGAGATTGAGACGCGTCTATACGGGTCAAAAGTACGAGATACCTGGGAGGAGGAGGAGGTGAGCTGCGCCTCCCATTATCGAACCGGCATGACATTGATCTTGGCCCCAAGTCCCTGGAATAACATTATTCCGACTTTTGCAAACCCGGTTGAATTTTTGGGCCTGGCGCTGAATTCCGTTTTCTTTCTTACCCGGCCTTTTCCTTGCTTTCCTGGCCCTTTTACTTGTATTCGGCCGGACGTCAATCCACCCCTCGGTTTTTTCTCCCGGGGCTGATGGATATCGACCAATAGAGGAGAAATGTTATTCTTCACCCCTCCACCCGTCAAGGGGTGGGGGGTGCTTTCTAGTCAGTCGGTCAAAGGGTGTCCACGAGCTTACACTTCAACTACCGATCGGCTGGAATGAAAATCATGTAAGTAAAAAAATTTTCCACCCTGTATACCTGCTGGATAAATTAGCCAAAAGTATATGACGTACGGAATATTACAAAACTGAAATTTTCAATACATTTTAAAATTATAAACAAACCTGTCGGTATTCTTGCGCCCGTACATATAGTAGGGAATAAATGTTGATTCTAATTACAACTATTAATACACTATAAATACCTTTCTTACTTTATGTTGAGCAACATCATTAAAGGACTAATCCAGAAGGTTAACGAGCGGTTTTACGTTAATACAATAACCTCAAAAATACTTTCAAATAACAGGTTTTTATTGTAAATCGAAATCTTTGTGTTCTAATACGTCTCTCTTCTATTTAGTTGATTTTTGGAAAACATTCCATACAGAACCGCTATGCAATGTATGCAAAATAAATATGTTTTCATTCTGTGGAAAATATTACTAGAATATACAAATATTAGTGGAACTTTCTCCCAACCTATTTAGCTTAATAAAAATATTTTTAAATCGATCCACCATCTTCTTACACAACTGTACATCGGGCAATAAAAGTCTGGAAGCACTTACCTAAGTTTTACATTTACGCTCTTCTTGTCTAAAATAGGTTATTTTCCACAATGAAACTTCTTTTCTGTTACACAACAAACATTAAAATTTTTATTTTCACAAAATATGACATTAATGCATGACAACAATAGTTAACAGAAAACGTAGGTAACAAAAAGGCATACAAAAACGTCTGGAAACTGTGGTAACACTATAAATATTAAGTGCTATAGCTGTAAATGTTCTAGCTATTAAAAGCTTGTTGAACCTTCTTTATAGCTTATTTCTTCCAATCGTTTTTTCATCATTACATTATTTCTGCTGGAATCCTCTCCCATTCTTTCAGTAAAGCTGTTTTCAGCCCTTCTTTGTTTGCAACTCCTCTTGCCCTTACTCGTCGGTTAATATCATCTCATAAATGTTCGGTGGGATTAAGGTCTGGGGAGTGAGGAAGAGTCTCCGGTTGCCTGGGGGCATTGTAGAACAGCCTACTTATAACCATCTTTGTTCTCAAGGCTGTATGCTTCGGGCCATTATCTTGTTGAAAGTTAAATGAAGAAAAACGAAAGAATAAATTACCCTGATTCAATTAATTGCATTTTGTTGGAAATTATTTCTATGTATCCATGTTGGTCAATAATACCATTTATAATATGTAAGGCACCAACTCCCGTCGCACTTATACTGCCGCATGACCATCCCCATGCTTAAACGTGTGCCTAATATTTTCCATTTCCAATTCTTTATTTGCTTTTCGCCATACTTTTTGTCGTCCTTCTGACCCAAAGGTGTTAAATCGACTTTCAACCGAAAAAATGACGGTTCCCGTAACGATGGTGGCTTTTGTTTATATTCTTTAACAAAATCCAAACGGCGCCTACGATTTAATTTGTTGATGTACGGTTTCTTCTTCGTAACTCGGTTGAAAAAACCACTTTCTCGTCGTTTGAGGAGGAGTTCCTACTGTTACACCATAGTCACGGGACAAGTTCTCAGCATTGGTTGGAACGCTAGTCCACAGTTTGTCAAGGACAGTTTTTAAAATTTCACGTTTATGCAGGTGACTCATTTTTGATGGCCGCCCGCTACGTGGTCTGCTGGATGGACCACCTAATCCATTATATTTTTTTAATAATTTTTGAAACTGTATCTACATTTTTATTAGCATTCCTTCCAATTTCCTTCAAGATCTTACCTTGATTTCTTAAGGAAAAGATTATTTAGCGAATGGGCTTTGGTACATCCATCATGAAAGCTAATCACAGCCTGAAAGGATTTCTATTCATATCTCTCGAATTCTGACCTTTGTCCTCTGTGCGCATTGCGATTATAATCAGTTGTTATTGTTGAAATGCGTTGTACGCTTTGTTTACACAACTGTTTCCAAATATCTTTTGCATTAAGGAGATGTCTTTTTGTTGCCTTTTTTTCTTAACTACTATTGACATGCATGACTGTTATATTTTGTTAAAATAAAAGTTTAATGTTTGTTGTGTAAAATAAGGGTAATTTCATTGTGGGAACTAACCTATTTTAGACAGGGGCAGCATAAGGGAAAAACTTAGTTTCCATCCTTTTTTTGCCCAGTGTATATACATAACGTATTAAACTTAACTCAATCTAAATGCAATAAATGTTGAATAATCAATTAGATTGCTTGACGTGATATCAACGTTTTATTATTTACCTTGGTTTTTAATCATTGCATATTAATAAGCAAAAGTCACAGGGTTGATAAACTACCTACTGGTAGAGCTCTATACCTAGGCATTAATAGTTTATACAGAAATGTTTCACCTCTTTCATCGTCATCACGATCTAAGAGATCTTTAGGCCAAGGACCGGCAAAATAATTTTGTAATATTGATAACATGGAAAAATCACAAGCAAATCAAATGGGGAGGGCGTTCTGTAACCAAATGGCCAAACGAAATTTATTTGTATTGTTTCCTCCTGTAATATTTAAAGGAACGTTAAGGAACAGTTAAGTTCATATTCGTAATATTGATTATTATTCATAATAAACAAAAAAATTAATACTATATTTTATACACTCAAAGACAAAACCAGACACTCCACTGAGTCCAAATTATATGTATTTTTATCGTTATATTAATTACAACATACTTATTTTACTGTAAACCAAATTAAACGAAAGCAGAAATTCATGATGTTTTATTATTTAATTATGATGATTCGAAAGAAAATTCACCAAAATATCGAAAATCCTTTAGTGATAATTAAAATTTGATTAACAATTCATTACATGGTTTTATTCTTAACTCTGGCTTTTCGTCTGGATTTCATCTTGTGAAACAGAAACTCATTCTCCGAGTTGGAGGCGATGAATGATGTCATGTCCCATAAGTGTTTTATCGGATTCACGTGTGATTCAGGATAAAGTGCTGAGCAATTCATTGTGGTAATACGTACATCCTCCGAGGAATGAAATCCCCAATAAATTAAGTGAATGGTACCACAGCTTCCAGAAGAACTTCCTCAATGTATCTTAGTACAGCTAAAGTTACATTCTGTATAATGGACGTTGATTCCACTCCATACCATAATTGACTGTCTTTCAAAAGGATTGCCACAAACCAAACCGGCCCTTATCTGTGAAGAGACTGGCCCCTCATTGTTCAAATGTCCACGCGGGACGCTGATTTACGAACGATACCTCTCCACTAGTAGAGACCCTGATGCGGGAAGTCTAAAATGCTAGGTTATTATCAAGGATTCCGTTCAATGACGGTTCCGTAGTGCGATAAGTGATCGTCTCGAGCCATCGTACTTCGTGGTAGATCACTACCTTCGATCGAGACTTCCTGTGGTCATAAACCGCTGTAGACCATTGCTGATCTTACAACGCGGCACAGTACAAGCCAAATCACCTGTCTGGGCGAGATCTCGACTTATGTTAATCTTAGAAAACAAGGAGATATTTTTTGTATTGGAATCCGCAATGGTCGCAGGATTTACACACCAATCGAAACTTGTCTATGATTGGTTTTTACAAGGCTTTACAGTAAAAAAATGTTAGTTTATAACTACATTTACCAACATATACACTTGTAACATCCCTCGAGAAGAGATGTTTCAAAAGTAATATATTTTAGGGAACTTAAGATCAAAAATCAAAATAATATAATGGACTAATTTTCCTACCAAGGTAAAGGTTATATTGGAGGATTTTTCCGCATTCGATTTCAACTTTTGTTTCTTATACCAAGATACCAACAGTGTTACATGCTGCAGCATGTCTTGTGAGGAAAGAACAGTATAGGAGTATACTCATAAAATTGTTGCATCGGGTACAAAGACAAGTTTGATGGATGTGTATGAGATGGAAGTACTCTGACATAATTCACGAGAATTGCCTACAACTTGTCAGAAAAACAGTTCAGGTTTAGTTATTATGACAGCCTTCAATATCTATATATCAATATCTACATTTTATATTAAAAATCAGGAATACGGTCAAATTGAAAAAATAGACCCTCAGTTCCTACATCACTTCTCAAGAAAAAAGTGTTTTTCTTTTCTGTTATATTGACGGTCCTCCTGAATTTTAAATCAAAATTATAGCTTTAATGCGATACTGGGTGGAGGGAAGGATGCACTTCCACCTCAAGGCAGGGTGTCAAGTACGATCAAAACCTTGGCTGACTTTAAGGTTCCTTAAGGACAGAGGAGCTAATGTATTCTAGATACGATGACAGGACAGTTGAGTGACAGATGCGAAAACCAAATTTAATGGTCGGGAATAATATTGGGAGAATTTAGGATAGGAAAAATTCTTTTTAATAAAAGATTTTCTGAAGATTTCCCCAAATTGGGTAAAAGAAAGACTTCACATAATACTTATGTATACCACAGGAATAGAACCACACTATATGCCCTAAAGATGACCCTAATAAAGTCGAAACGTAGGCCAAAAAATGAAAAAGCTTTTTTTTCCAAACTGCCTCATTCTTAACGGCTACTCACGAATCCAAAAATTATTAAACAACTAGTCACTAAAAAAACACACCCTTGTGTTTGTTTACATTTGATGAGCTTTTTGCAATCCCCTTAGCTTGGTCAGTCATTAGTTGAAGACACAGTGATTACACATGGATATCCCAAACATTACATACCGCTATAGCCGGGGATGCATTTGTGGTCTTTATAGTCCTAGATCATATTTCAATTTTTTCCTGATTATGACCAGGCATGGGTAAAAATGTATGATTATTATTCATACTGCATTTATCGCTAGATTTTTCTTCTTGATTTCTTCAAAATGGTAAGTCTGAGTGATGTAAGGAACCCAAATCTCTTTCCTTTTTCTCGAATATGAGATTTGGCCCTTATTATTTAAGTTTTGGCTCCAATCGATTTCGAGATGGAGTGATAACCAACCTTTGGATTGTGGGGTAGAAGCAGTACTACATGGACAGAGGAAAATTAACTTTTGTATTAAACAGTTAATAAGTACTAGCGTTAAGTAGAAAGTACCCATTTTTGAGGCAAGGTGGCGTCCGGAAGGGGGCCGCGCGGGGACGGTCGGCTGGGGACCGTCTGCGCTCTCAGGGCGCGTTATTTTCCGGACTGGGTGATGGTGTTGGACTTTTCCAAGGGTAGCTTTACCATCTAAGGGTTTTATCCACCACCTTCGGGAACAATCTGTTATGTTGAGAATTTCCCCGTTTCAAATGGAGAGCCCAGGTGTCCTTCCTGGCCGGTCTCCGGGGCCGTGCTGGCTCGGCGGGGGCCTCCTTCCGGGGGCCGGTAGCATCAAGCAATGAATGTAGATGGCTAGATGTACACTGGTTCAAGGCAAACAAAAAGTAGAAAGTATAGGCTTACAGGAAACAGACTCATTCCTTGTTATAAGACAATTAATTAAGGTTTCTAGTTGAGATAAAAATGTCAATGGCACAAGCGGGATTCGAACCCACGATCTTCGGCTAGATACGCCGCTGCTCTACCACTTGAGCTATCGTGACCTCGATCCACTCGGACACCAACTTCCCATCTCAACCCCACCTTTTGAATTTTTCCTCCTTTTTGCCATTTTTCAAATTGTTGTAAGTTTTTCTATTATATACGCTGGTGGGAATTCTAGGAGTGGATTTAGCATGGTGAGAGTGAAGGGTGTCGGTAAAGTCATGGGAAGACGGAACAAGGGGCAAGGTTTAGATTAAAATATTTAGAGATAATTGGAATTATGGATATTACAATGGTTTTCCTCGTTTTCGAAGTCCCCTGAAGACATCTTCTTTGAATGATTCCTTATAGTAAAAATTCTATCCTATTCTTTTTATACAGTAATAATTTCACTTTGGACCGTAAATCATTTTTTGTTCCTGTCTACTTTATGATTTGTACGTTACGTTTTTAATAAAACTGTATAATAAAAAATCCCGCCGCACTTCTGTAGTCATAAAAGGAGTTTCTTTCCCTATTTGTTATGGTTATGGTATTTTATATTCATTTTTCTCAATAGTGAGTAGGTGTTACATTGAATACTTTAAAGAAAAATAGGGCAGAAAATATCTTTGAAAAATGTCTTAACATGGCGAAGGCAAGTTTTTCCCAAATGAAATGACTAGTGTAAAGTGAGTTAGATTTTTCATAACGCCTTGCATTCCGAGATACACTGTCGGATAACAAAATGCAGAATCTTTGCCCAACTTAACCCATTTTTCACCGAAACCAAAGAATTAATTCTAAAAAAATGAACCGAACGTATTATATTGTTATTCAACATAGATTTTTAATTAGTTTTTGTTTTAAAAATTGGTTCTTAACAATAGGTTTAGTTGGAGATAAAATGAGGAAAATTGTTACAAAAACTAATTTTATCAGTAGAAATTATGATCTCGACTAGGAAAAAGCCGTAAACATTATAACAACAAAGTAAAGTAATCTTTAGTAAATTAATTACGTAAGCACTCACTTCAATATTTAGCTTGTTGCTAAAATTATTTTGCATGAATTAATTATCAATATTAACAAAAATAATTAAGGAACAAAAGTAAAGCTGTAGGCAAAGATTCAATAGATAATGAATGTTTAAAGTCCACGGGAAACAATTGTCTTACATTTCTTCATTATTTAATTAGTCTTAATTGCTGAAACCACACCTAAATCTTGGTCATGCATTAAATTAAAAAAAAGGGGGACCCCTTGAGGACCATTATCGTGGCATTGCCATGTTCAATAGTCTTTCCAAACGTTTTGCTAATGTGTGGTGATTAGTGACCGTTAATCGATATTTATTTAGAAATCGTGAGATGCGATCTGGTGTGATGTAGGTTTCAGAAAAACATTTTCTTTTTCGTGCCAACGTTTCGATCTTTATTGAGATCATCATCAGGGTCTACGATTTACAAAATTGGTGATTAGTGACTGTTAATCGGTGATTATTCGGAGGTCGTGAGATGGGGTCTGGTGTGGTGGGTTTCAGAGGAGCATTTTCTTTATCGTGCCATCGTTTGTAAATCCCAGGCCCTGAAGATGATCTCAATAAAGATCGAAACGTTGGCACGATAAAGAAAATGTTTTTCTGAAACCTACATCACACCAGNGTGGAATGTAATGTGATAATATAGGTATGTTATCTGTATTGAATTTGATTAATGATATTGGCGTAGCTGGACTGAGTTGCAAATCCCAGGCCCTGAAGATGATATCAATAAAGATCGAAACGTTGGCACGATAAAGAAAATGTTTTTCTGAAACCTACATCACACCAGACCGCATCTCACGATTTCTAAATAAATATCGTTTTGCTAATATTTTTTATGAACGGATAACTGCGTGGGCTTAGAAGAACTGATCGTTTCAAGATGGGATTTAGCGATTCAGTCGTGAAGACATATTTACAGTATCAGGATTAGCAAATTGTTATTTGAGATTAAAAATAAACAAATTGATCTCTTAATTGATTTAGGAGAACAGTCGACAGTGTCACAAGCTTTATCCTTTTTTTATAAGGAGGAAAATAATTTAGGTAATTTGTGTTTTGTACGATATTTTCCGTACATGGAGAATCCCTCCAAGGAATTTCGGTGAAGGGGTGTTACTGGGCGATGTTTTAGTCTCTTTAGTTTTTATCACGCCTCACCCAAGGTTTTATTGACTTGTCGGATTAACATCAAGTAAAAGCGAAGATTTGGATTTATTTAAGCGGACGGCGTTGTGTTGTTGCAATCTTCTTCTCTCATAGAAAATTACCTTACATTGCCTATCCTACTTCAGCCCTAGTGACCAACCTGAATTTTGGTCTGCTGGATACTAGGTTGAAAAATATTACAGCTTTTTATTAAACCTACAAAACTTATATTAGCATTTGTTTCGTACCCACATAGCGAATTAAAGGAAAACGTAAGTAACTGCATAAGTGGTGGTGTTGTAATCAGCAAGGATACTACATTTCTGTTAAAAAACAAGAAAAACATCGATGTATATGTATGATAGGAAAAGTACTAGAAAGTCAATGTATAATTAAATAAATTAACAACCATTATAAACAAAAACAGACTGTACATTGAATTTCATGAAAGCATGAGCACAATAAAAACAAGTAATTACACAAATGGAATTTGTATTAAAGACCTAAACTTTGAAATAAAGAAAGTTGAGTAATTTTGACTTATCCAGTTTTACCCCGAGGGTACAGACATGATGTAATTCATATTTGGTATTTTATATTTTTAATATCTTTAGCTCAAAACATATTCTTCTTGGTTTTTAATAATATTTTTGGCAGGCGAAAGTCTGATAACAATAATAATTTCTGCATGTATCAAAGATGCATCTCTAGGGTGGCCAATACAAGCGTTTAGGTGGGTATTTTTGTTGCAAAGACTATGCGTTTTTAAGGAAGAATGAATTAACTTTGTCAACCGAATCAAAAATTTCCAACCCTGTACCGAAAATCACTTTTTTTTTTTTTTTTTTTTTTTTTTTTGGCGAACCCAGCCCACTAGAGCATGACATATAAGTAGATTAAAGAAATATCATAAATACACATAATAAATAATTACTTTACACAATGAAATAATTAATTAACATAATAAGTAGTCTTAATCTAGTGTAAAGAGCCCCGAGGAATATTAAGAACTTAGGGGGAGTGAATGTGACCAGACCTTTTTTTTTTTTTTTTTTTTTTTTTTTAATGAATATAATTTAGTAGCGTGAAAGGAAGATGGTTGCTTAGCCCCGCCCGCCCCGAGGCATAGCGAGTACTCTGGGATGAGTGTGTGGCGTCTCGAGAGTAAAAGTATGTTATTAAAATATATTTAATTAATCCATATATTAGCAGTTAGCAATTGATCTAGACGCTGAAATGTTTGCACGCTGAAAAACACGCGTGAAAGACTAGAGAGAGAAATAAAAACACGTAGGGCTCGGCGATAACGTCAGCTGTTTATCGGCCCCTAAAATTTCCATTTTTTTAATTGTTTAATAGTTGCAAGACAGATAATAATGGATCAGCAACAATGGAGCGTTCCTTCAGAAACCGAGCTAATCGAAGGATACATGCAGAATACCATAGTTGGGTAAGAGATATGATATATAGAAACATAAAGACACAAAAAAGATTGCAATGTGAGGCTTGGAACATAAACTTAATCAGCTTGAGTCTTAAATTATCATCTTAAAGGAGATCAGCTTGAGAGCATCAAGTATTTAATAAAAGACTCTCCAAAAAAGTTAAAGAATAGATGCTGTGAGTACAAAGTATCTTTCATTCAATTAAAGTTTTTTATTTTTTGAGAAGTAATTAGCCTTAATTGAGCCGGATTTGTACAGCAAATTGTACAACTTGTTGTAAACTTGTGCGTTTTTTTCAACATCCTCAAGTGTATGTTGTTAAAATCCTATGCGGAGACGAAACTATCAAATGCTCTTCGACCAAAGATACACTATTTTGGCATCAAAAGGATTTGTAAAATCTTTGGTCATCCGTTCAACAAACGCAAAATTTCTATGCGCTTTCCGTTATAAAATCATAATGATTCGGGAAATCGTATTTTCAATTTACTTTAACTCTGAGCTTTTATAACTTTTTTATTTACATAATTTATTACTTATTGTATTTATTACTTATGTAAGTTGGCGTTTGTTAAAAGTCATTAGCGTACCCTAAGTTAGTAGTTGTGGGTAGTTCCGCATGGTGCTCTGCGCCGGCTATCATTGTTTCATCCTGTCTGCGCAATCGATCGGCCCCGTGTTATTGTGTTATTTTCCAGTTGGTTATCACAGGTGGTTTTCTAGCCGTGAAATTGTTATTTCTCCCGAATTTAAAGTGTATTTAAACATTTCTGTCAGTTTCACTGTTGATCCAGTGCCAAAGAAGAAGCAGAAGTCGCAAAAAGGAGTTTTCACAAGGCAGTAATCCACAACAGTACGCATCCGTATTAGAACGAGGAGGGTTAGTTTTCGACGGCAACAAATTCCAATTATTAATCTGTATCCACCAAATTTTAAAACAGAAAAGTGGCTTTTTGGATCTTGAAAATGGAAACAAACAGGTCAAATAAATCCTTGCTATTTAAACAAGAAATTATGTGTCCATTCGAGTTTCTACATTGGTGTTTACGTTACGGGCCACGGTGCCTCAAATCAATTTGAATGAAATAAATTCATTTATTGCTTCAAATTCAATTACTTTTTAATCTTATAAACAAGTTCTTCAATTTCTTAAAAGATATCTAAACAATTAAACAAACGGTGGATTTAATAAATAACATTTCGTCGTACAGGTTAGACTTCACCAAGCATGGCTTGTTCTTGTCGAGTCCATGAAATCCCATACGACTATTATCATTTTTACCCTAGATGTCATTATTTATACGTATAATTAATATTTCAATGTTTAAAATCAAAAATTTTCAAAATAAAGAAAAAATTATTTTCTTTTCGGATTTTCCTATCTATGAAAATTAATGGGGAAATCTTACATTATACTCTGCATCAAATAGTTAAAATGAATTTTTGTGAAGTTAAAAAATTTGCAATTGTATTGGATACGGACAGTGTCTGTCAAAGTGTTCATAAATTATGTTTTTACAGTTTTGGGATTTTTTTAAAACTTATTAAATAATTAGAACTAATAATTGGGCTTAATATAGTTTGCTTTCCCATGTTTGTTTACTCTTCTACTTAGCTTGTATGTAGCTACTTGTTAAATATATATCTGTAGTTCACTCTTAAAACCTTTTTAAATCTTTCTGTACCTCTTCTAACAAGGCAGAGTCATTTATGTCTTTTAATAAATAAATAAATACAATAATTAAACATTGCTCTCTCAGGAATCCGAATTATTTGCTGCAGGAGAGTATTCGGATTACAGACGTTGTTACAAAAAAATACGTACATATGTACAAGAATATAATTTCAACCAACACTTTATTATTATTGCATGCACAAAACGTTAAGCCCATTAGAATACATACTGCCAATTTTTCTTTAAAAAATCAGTTTTTTTTTAATTTATGTTAACATTTTCTTCATTGCTTCTTCCTCTTTTCACTCATTTTTAAGCAGCAGGTATATTGAACATAAAAAGAAGAAAAATGATCTAACATTTAATTTTGTCGTCTCTCTCTCTTACTCACTCTCTTCTTTTCTCTCACAGCTCTCCCTCATCTACTATCTCTCATTTTCCTCTCTCTCATTCTTACTCTCACTCTCACTCCACTCACTCATTCACTTTCTCATTTCTTTATCTTTCATAGACTCTCCTTTGTCCACTTATCTCTCTCTCACTCTCACTCACTCACTTTCTCTGCCTATTTTTTGAATAAGTTAGTAGATGAATGTGGCCCATATAGTGGTGTACGTGATTTGTTTCATATTTTGTTGATTGTGAGTTGTGTAGTATGGTTTGTATTCTTTTTAATTCCTTTTCTTACTTGTCTACGATTAGACGAATTGATTTTAGTCTGTCCGTCAGTACTTCAGTGCTTGCATTTTGTGCCGGTGAGGGTGATTTGAGTCGGCTTGTATGGTGTCAGTTGCCGTCGGTTCTCTGTAGACGTCAACTTACAACTTAGTTTTTCAACTGTTTTTGTGATGGTTTAGTATAGGAAGTTTATACTGTTTTTGTTTCTGTTTTTGTGTAGTGGGTCAGTCGGTATTTTGTTTATGCTTTTTGACGTTTTTCGTAAAAATGTTTGTAAAAATCTTTGGTTAATTTCTTCGTTGAAGTACAATTTAAAGTAGGTATGTTGTATTATGTTTGTGAGTTGTGCTTATTCTTTATCAGTTTTAGTATCTTTCGTATTATGTCCATCTCTTTGTTTTGTCAAACTGTGGTCTGGTGTGACGTAGGTTTTAGAAACACATTTTCTTTATCGTGCCAACGTTTCGATCTTTATTGAGATCATCTTCAGGGCCTGGGATTTATAAACATTGTTTAAATTTTACAAATACGTGTAGGATATGAAAAAATGAAGTTATACAATGCTGGAAAATTTTAGATTTAAAAAAGAAAGAAAAAAAATGTATACAATGCTAGAAAATTTTAGATTAAAAAAAAGAATGAATGTATGTTATCGATAACATACATACATCATCATCACATTCCACACATCAAACATAGTCTCATTCTTCCACAATTTGCCTTTCCTTTCCCGAATTATCCCCGTCTAAAAAAGGATATCAGGCCGAACCATTACCCACGTTTTTTCCCATTGTCCCATCCTTTCGCCTCAAAGAAGCCGACTCCTTATGCAAAAATGTCTTCCTATACAGACTTCCTTCCCCACCCCTTCAAAATCCAACGTATATATACATAAAACATCAATATCTTACTGGCACTCTCAACACGACACGCAAGAATGACACATCTACACAGAAAACAAACACTTTGAGTGAGTGCGAATACTTTGTTTGAATCTAAAATTTTCTAGCATTGTACAAATTCATTTTTTTTTTTCATTTGGATTTATGTACGGTGAGTCTGGAGTGTTAACATAGGACGAAAATTGCACAGTTTCTTTTCTTGCTTTAGATCTTTATATTTTGGATTGAGAAACTTCGCTGTGATGGACCTGTATTTTCGTCGTTACCGACCATTTTGGTCTAGCCACGTGGGATTGGTCTGTTAGGTGCGATTCCGCGTTTACGTTTGTTTATTTGCACTTAGGATTTTTTTCTCCTTACCCTTCTTTGAATAGTCACTTTTTTTTCAATGTACTCTTAACAGTTTCAGCACTGACGACTATTTGACCGTACTGTCCAAGTTTTTCGGCGGTTGTAGGATCGCTTAATGGGATTTAGTTGCTTTTTCTTTTTCTTTATTATGGTAATTACCTGTCTAGTGCGGTCAGAAAGTAGACAAGGTCTCTCTGATTTTGGCGCGTCATGTAATTTGCCTTTATTTTTAAAATATACTTTGATATATTTTGATAACATTTTGAAATGTATAAACTATTACAATGACCTGTGAACTAATATCTTTTAAATTAAGCCGGTATTCCCCGTGAAAGTATTGTTAAACGAGTTTCCATTGTTGAGTTACGCCTGCGACCCCATTTTGTTTTGAAGTCAAATTCAAAACATATCACCCCCACCTCAAAAATCAATAAGAATCGATATTTACATAGGTGTGTGTGATATTTATGTGAAAGGTAATGAAAATAAATGGGGGGGGGTGATAAAAGCTCGTGTTAGCGGGTTTTACGAAAATTATAGTATCAACTTTTGTTACATTTTCAACAATTTTTTTTTAAATCATAGACAACTTTGATTGAGATACAACGAGACAACAAGAGTAAGAGACAGAGATAAAGATAAATAGAAACTAACATTGTTCCTATTTATCTTCCTATCCTGACTAGTTGAGGAAAAGTTAAGAAAAAAGATTAGAAAACTGTAAAAATATAATTTACGAATACTTTAAACGGAGACACTTTATATACAAGTGTGTGGTGTTTAATGACCGTTAGTTAATGTTAATTAGTAAATGATTATTTACAGATCGTGAGATTCACACTAGACCGTATCTCACGATCTCCAAATGATTATGATATATACAAGGTGCTCTATTTTTCGACGCATCATATGAAAAAAATTAGTTCCGATGAAAATTGACTCCAGTAAGTTATTCGTCCTGCTTAACTCGTTTTGTGCACGCAAATCTGAGTTCAGTGAGCTTTCTTTCAAATAGTTAAAAAAAAACCTTTAGGTAAAATTAAAAGAAAGCTTTACAGGTGCAACTGTTTATTTCCGAGGATATTCAAAAGAAAGTTTATTTGCATGTACAAAACAAAAGTTGAGCAGCAGTAGAATGGTTGTGGAGTCAATTTTAACGCAATTAATGCTTTTTGCTAAAGTGCATTGAATTTGGACTCACCCTGTATTTGTATCAACATACATTTTGTATCAACATACATTACATGTTTGTTTATTACTGCAAGACTAATTATATGTGTTCTACAAACTATAATTCCATTTTAAATCTGTAGTTCATACAAACTATCACTAACTTTATATATATGTTTCCGTAGCAAGATGTTTCCATTGGCCAAAAATGTTATTATTGAGTTAATATATTTGTTTTATACATGTTACCTCTATCTCACATTAATCTAAAAATATTTACAAATTATTTTGAAATGTTTTAATGAATACGTTTCTATTTTGAATTTGGATGGAAAATTATTAATTTTGTATTATATTGTATTTTGATTTGAATTAAGCCAATTTTTTGTTTATTTGTTTTTATAGAAAATGTAATGTTTCTCGATCGATTTATTACATGGAATTTGTGTCGTTTATAGGCGGGCTATCCGTAAATTACCAAAACGTCAATTGGTAATATTTAAAAATGAGTTTACGGTAAGTGTCTCTTAAATACTTTTTCTCAAATGAGATGAAAACAAAATTATATTTGTCGACAATGTGCGTGATTTTCAGGAAGAAAAAGCCAAACAATTATTCTGCCCTTGTAAGTACTTTATCGAAACTTAAAAGAATTATACATTTCTAAATCGGGGGCTGTTACAGCACACTGGGGTTCGGAGGACGCCAAAAATTACCATGATCCAAAAGCGGATCCTAATCGAATACATGGAAAAACACCCAGAACTGATAAACAATACAAGAAAGAGCTCCTGTGTGGCACAAGATGGCCCTGATTATACGCACCTCTGGGAAGAGGTGATGGATTTACTAGAACGCAACTCTACAAAACCGACAAACAAAGAAATCGATAAATGGAAAAAGGTAAACTATAATTTAATGTTTAACATAAAAGCTCGCTATACAACTAAAAAAACCAACAGTTAGAAACAAAATTCCAGCTAGACAGATAGAAATATTTATATTAAGTAATATATAATAGCAATTAATTAAGGTTTTTAGTTGATATGAAAAAATCTAATGGCACGAGCGGGATTCGAACCCACGATCTTCGGCTAGATACGCCGCTGTTCTACCACTTGAGCTATCGTGACCTCGATCCACTCGGACATCAACTTCCTATCTCACAACCCCACCTTATGAGTTTTCCCTCCTTTTTGCCATTTTTCATCTTGCTTTTTTCATCTCAACTAAAAACCTTAATTAATTGTAATGATTTAATTGGTCAAGCGGACCACGAAATTAGTGAATTTAATATATAATAGTTTTATATCAGAATTCTTAGTAAGTTATTTCACTTTTTATTGTTTAAATTAATTTTGTCATCACTACGATAACTTTAGTTATTATTGTTTTGTTTATAATCATTAAACGCTTAATCATTAAACTAGGTAGTCATATTAAAATTAATTTTGTTATCACTGCGATAACTATAGTTATTATTGTTTTGTTTGTATAAGCTTTATCATGAAAATAGGCAGTCATATTATTATTAATTTTTAAGGGCGTTTTAACGGCTAAGTAAGGTCATTTCACGCACTAACATCCAAACCTTCTATCTTAGGTTAGCTATATTCCTTCGGAGTGCTATAAAGCTCTGACTCCAAACATTCACTCATAAAATAATTTATCCTATGGCCATCCGAAGCTTTAATTTTTAATCAATTTAATTCTTTAAAATTCTTAATTTGGAACGCCAAACGTATGCAAAAATCCCATTTTAAATTACATATAAAATGTATTCCTGTTTATTGATTAGAATTTTGAATTAAATATTAAAATTAATTTTTTTATCTCTGCGATAACTATAGTTGTTATTGTTTTGTGTATATAAGCTTAATCATTAAAATGGACAGTCATATACTGATACTGATTCTCAAATAAAGTGGTGCTCTGTTAAATTTTAACCAACAAGGTTTTTTTTCATAATATTAGTGAGATCGCCAAAACCAATGAGAAAACCTACAAAAGTACTCTTACAAGTGCACTGTGCTTTCCTAAGGCATGTGTACATTGAGCTTGACAAAGAACAAACTGATTTTTTTTTAATTAACCCTATTTTTGACATTTAAATGGTATTTTCTGATTTCAACTTATAGTGTATTTGAGTTATATTGAGTAAATGCTGTCCATGTTTTAAAAGAAATTAATATTTTTATTCCATTTATCAATGTTCAAAAGTGGACAACAGTCGTTTAAAATTCTTCTTAGGACTATAGGAGTGCATGTATTGGTTGGATGTTAGATCGCTTGGTGGTCTTATAAGTCTGTCCATGTAGTCTGCTCAGTCTCATCTATTGTTCTCATTTATTATTATACACTCAAAGACAAAAAAAACTTGTATTTATTTATTTGTTTTCGTATGTTAGTAGGTATAAAGATTAATAGCTGAACTTATGATTTTTCCTTCTTGAAGGTGGGATAATAGGTCATCTCAAAACAACCAGTTTTTATCCACGACGTTTCGGATTTGTTTTAATCCATCCTCAGGTGAATTAACGCAATGGTTAAAAAAGTGGTCGTCAGTCATTAATATTTTATAACATATAACGTTTTAACCATTGCGTTAACTCATCAGAGGAAGGATTAAAATAAATCCGAAACGTTGTGGATAAAAACTGGTTGTGGTTTTTTTGAGATGACCTATTAAACCACCTTCAAGAAGGAAAAATCATAAGTTAAACTGTTGAGGTCGAAATATAAGAAAACATTAATAGCTGACTTGAAACGTAAACACAGCATTAATAACTTATAGTGTTACTAATCCTTTTACACTCTTTCGATTAAAAATTTCAAAAAAAGTTCAATTTCATCTGTTCCAAACGCAACTTATCGAGTCAGTTAACTGGTTTATTAAGTAGTTTTCTTTAATGAAACCATAAATTAGAGTAAAAATTTAACTATTAATTTTTTTCTTAAAAGCCTGATGTTAAGTCGAGAAGATCTCCCCAGGCAAATGATGTGGCCTGGTGTATTCCATCCCGGATGGTCTACAGCGGTTTAGGGCCACCGGATCGAGAGAAGGTAGTGGTCGACCGCGATGTACGACGGCTAAAAGCGTCGTTTTATTTTTCTTATCGCACTACGGAACCGTCATTAAACGGCTTTCTTGACAGGTAGTCAATTCCAAACTGTCCTTAATGTATGGGTGATCTCTCAAACAGTCATCTGAGCATCGAGACAATAAGCCTTCTAGATGTCCCGCATCAGATTCTGTACTACTAGAGAGGCATGGAATAAAAAGTCGACTATTATCAAAACAGCATCTCGCTTGAACACTTGGGAGCTGTTTTCTTCACAGATAAATGCCGGTTTGGTTTGTGGCAACAGATGACCGGGACCGTGTGTGGATAAGACGTAGAAAACGCTTTGTTTCATTTGCCATTCGTGAGTAACAACCTTTTGAAAGACAGCCTGTTATGGTGTAGGGTGGAATCAACGTCCATGCGCATACCGTACTGATTTAGTACAGAAGAGGTCTTCCATTGCATTACGGTACATTGCGGAATGTTGCTCGAGTTGTCACCCATTATTTGGAATTAATGGAAGTAGGGATTACCACGATGATAGACAAGCACAGTGTACTGACATGAATCCCACAGAACATTTATGGGGCATGACAGAAGCGAGTTTTTAGACATCGCTCGACGCCTCCAAGTGTTGAACAGCTTCAAACCGCTCTTGTTTAAGAATGGGATTCTGTTTCACACGTAGAAGGCCTAGGAGGTAAAATACGCGTTATTAAGAGAAAAACCAAGTTATAAATTGTTAGTTAAATTGTAATCTATCACTAAATGATTTGCCGAAGTTTTTGGGAATATTCTTTCAAACCATCATAATTAAATAATTTTTTTATTGAAAGTCATGAATTTCTGATCTCGTTTAATTTGGCTTACATTAAAATACGTGTAGTGTAATTAATATATCGATAAAAATACGTATAGTTTGCAATAAACAACAAAATACGAGTGTTCGGTTTTTTTTTGTCTTTGAGTGTATTTCTATAGTAGAACGATTTTATACTTGCGACTTTTATCGGATAGTTTTGGAAAGTTAATCAACCAAATTTTAAAAATTAAATTTCTCCTATAAGACTAGCTCGCCGCTATGTCACCATTATTTAGTTTGCTAAAAGATTAAAGTGGTTCTCCTCGGCATATTTATTGCGTTCTTTCTTATCTAAAGTCAAATTTCATTTTGAATCTGCTGTTTGAACCTTTAACCGCATTTGGGAAAATAAACTAACTACGAAAATTGTAAGTTTTCAGGCATTTGTGATCCCTGTTTTTGACCATAATTCAATTTAAACGTACAAAGAATTACATTGATTTGGTATAAATGTTAATGGAATACGTAGCAAGGTTATCGCCCAATGTAAATATTAAATTTGGAAAGTTAAATATGCCAGATACCGTTGAAACAACAAAGCTTTTCCTTGAGAGCTACATATATTTGAAGATGGAGATAACGAGTAGGCAGAGCCGTCGCCTTCTAAGGTCGAGTACCAGTTGAAGAAGGCCGAAGTTACTCGTATTGGGAAGAATATGTGGTGGAATGATCATTTCTCATGAAGTTGTTTCAACAGAATATTCACCGATTACGAGTTTGTCTGACTTTCGAATAGCCATCACTCGACCCTCGTTGTCTGTGCTCCTGTCGAACCGCATTGGGGAGATTTTGGATAACGTTAGCGTAAACGGTATCGCTAAATTGATTGAAGTGCGCATACGCAGATTTAACGAATCACTATCTAAAATAATGAACTTCGTCATTTGTCCTAGAATAGCGTTGCTTGTTAACGGTTGGCGATAAAGGCAACAAAGTAGTTTTTTGTTGGAGAAATTGCCCAACTAAAAAAAAATTATTTATGCAAAATATAATACAATTGTTTATTTTATAGTTAACATTTTACAAGTCGTACAAGTTTTCATGAATCCTGACTTTTAAGAATGTATATATTTGGTGCGTCAAATTACAGGAATATCAGCTAGAAATACGTCTTTCTTTCAATAAAGCCACAGCAATTGTGTTGAAAAGACCCTTTCTAATCTAAGAGACGGGCATAGAATGTTGTATAATGAGTATGTATATGGTTAACTAACTCCACTGCAATAGTTTAGTTTTCCTAAAATTGCTAGGCTAAGCTAAAACCTTTTTTTTCTCCTTTTTTTATCTTAAGAGTTTTTGAGATTTTCGGCTTCGATTTCATCTAAACTGAACTTGCCCCGAATCGACCGGCAATTAATGTATATTTTGTACGTTAGTGCTTCCACAACTATCAGGTCCTCAGCATTTGTAACAGCGTAATGCCATCGGAGATTTCGTACTGATGATGGGGTTTGCGACCACGATGTTGGATTAAAATTAATATTAGATATAGCTATTTAATAATTAGGTCTGTTCAACCTTTAATTTCTTACAGACCGGCGTGAGCCAGGTCAGTTTCTATCTTTAATTAATATAAATTATTCTAGTACGAGAGGACCGAATAGTTGGAATAATTTTTTTGGTTGACTATCATTGCTATTTTGGCAGATTAATGTAATAAATTTACAATTTATTTATGTGACAGAAATTACAGATAGCATTGTTTTTTATTTATTTCCTTTTTTGGTTCTGTGTATTTTATTGGCTGTAGCGTTTGTTACTTTATTAGAACGAAGGATTCTAGGTTACACCCGGGGGCCTAATAAGGTGGTGCTATTGCAGCCTTTTTATAATGGACTGAAGTTATTTTTTAAAGAACAAATATATCCTTGTTTATCTAATTTTTTTGTTATTCAGATATCGTGAGATGCGATCGGGTGTGATGTAGGTTTCAGAAAAACATTTTCTTTATCGTGCCAACGTTTCGATCTTTTATTGAGATCATCTTCAGGGCTCAAAGTGTTTGTCTTCTGTGTAATTGTGCCATCCTTGCGTGTGTGTTGAGAGTGCCCCCGACACGCAAGGATGGCACAATTACACAGAAGAAAAACACTTTGAGCCCTGAAGATGATCTCAATAAAGATCGAAACGTTGGCACGATAAAGCAAATGTTTTTCTGAAACCTACATCACACCCGACCGCATCTCACGATATCTGAATAACTATCGATTAACGGTCACTAATCTCTACACATTTCTAATTTTTTAATTAATTTATTTTTTAGTATTTTTTTAGTTAATGTTTATTTTTTGTTTTGGGGTTTTATTTATACTAGCTTGCTTAGGGGTTGGAGTTTATGAAGTGATAATTAGTGGTTGATCTTCAAACTCTAATTATGCTATATTAGGGGCAGTTCGTTCTATGGCTCGAACTATTTCTTATGAAGTAAGAATGGCCCTGTTGGCCGTAGGGTTTTTTTGGTTGGGGGTTTGATTTTATAATTTTTTAATAATTATTTAGTTTTTTTATCCTTTCCTGTATTAGTTCTTGATATATGTCTTGCTTGGCCGAAACAAATCGTTCTCCTTTTGACTTTGCTGAAGGCGAATCAGAATTAGTTTGTGGGTTTAGTATAGAGTATTGAAGAGGGGGGTTTGCTTTTATTGTTTAATCTAAATATATAAATATTCTTTTTATAAGAACATTTACTTGTATTTTGTTTTGAGGGGCTGACTAAACTATCGTAAATAACATCCGTGAACGGTGCCTTTGTTTACAAGCTTGCAAGATACGACTAAACCTGAACTAAAATAAACCCCTGGAAACTCGGCAAATTCCGCTATGCAAAAAGTCTTCAAACCGCGTCAATTTAAAATAAGTTAAATACAACGATGACCTTGAAATAGCGGAAACGTATGCAAAATCTCTTCATTATTAGGTAGGATCCATCAGGTCAACCTAAAGTTTCGAAAGCTTAAGATTTGCAGGAAAACTGTGACACAAGTATTAAAGGAGTTTGCAAAAGATTATAATTTATATTAATTAAGGTTTTTAGTTGAGATAAAAAAGTCATTGTCACGAGCGAGATTCGAACCCACGATATTCGGCTAGATACGCCGCTGCTCTACCACTTGAGCTATCGTAACCTCGATCCACTCGGACACTAACTTCCCATCTCAACCCTACCTTTTGAATTTTCCCTCCTTTGCCATTTTTTCAAATGTCGCGTAATCTATTTGATTCTCGGCGACAAACGACTTTTTTTATCTCAACTAAAAACCTTAATTAATTTAAATATAATCATTGGTCAAGCGGACCACTAAAACTAGTGAATTTAATAAGTAAAAATGAAGTATACCTTCACTAAGGCTCTCCGTGGCCATTTCATTTGTCGCCGAGAATCAAATAGATTACATGCATTTGAAAAAATGGCAAAAAGGAGGGAAAATTCGAGAGGATTGAGAAGGGAGGTTAGTGTCCGAGTGAATCGAGGTCACGATAGCTCAAGTGGTAGAGCAGCAGCATATCTAGCCGAAGATCGTGGGTTCGAATCCCGCTCGTCACACTGACTTTTTTATCTCAACTAAAAAACTTAATTGAAATATATTAATTGGTCAAGCGGATCACTAAAACTAGTGAATTATAATTTATATCTCACTTCTTAGTGTTCCTCAACCAACGACCAAGGTTAAGTTGTTGAAAAAAATTGTAGTGCAATAAATATGTTAAAAATTATCTGTCTGTTAATACCAAACCTAGAGTAATGAAAATTCGACCTTGTTTCTCCTAAAATGCTAATTCAAAACAATAATAAACTGCCTCTGTGAATAAATATTCCAATGTTATTATTGTTTTGTTTTGATACATTTACAAGACTTAATATCTTATATTCTGATTTTTTTCTTTCAATATTACTTTATTCCTTGATTTAAGGAAATGTAAATTTTCAGTTGGTGGTAATATGTATTGAAAACTAAATCACAAGTTAAACACACTAATTGTCCTGTCCGAATCTTAAGAATTACATTATGTTTGTGTTCTGTACTTTCAAGACTTGGTCTGATTTAAAACGGCACGTTGAACTCAAATCGGCGAGGATCAGAGCCAACCTGATTTCGCCGAACTTCACGGAATTCGAAGCAAGGATATTAAAGCTAATGACTTGCAAAGGTGAACATCCAATAAAGGAAGAATGCATGGAAAATAATGTCTCTATGGTTCGTCTTATACGTTTAAACTGTTTATAGATCAGTAGTCATGTTTTAATATTTTTAGGACTCTGATTCATGGACTGGAGAGGATAATGAACAGCCTATTCCAACGGTAATTGTTGTCTTTAAGGAGTACAAATCGTGGCTGAAAACGAATTTGGCCACATTGTACATTACGTTGCATGCATTATCATTTATGCGAAGCCTTTATTATTTAAGTATAAACAGAGTTATTTATAATAGTGTTCATCTGCAACGAAAGAAGAAGGAGAAGAAGACGACGAAGAAGACATAAAGCCTAATGTAAGTAGCAAACATCGTTTTTTTTTTCGAGGGTTGATCAAAATGTGGGCGGTATGAAGAAAACTATGTTTTATTTTCAACAAAATCCTGACGCATCCATTATATTTAGTGGTCTGATGGACCAATTTACTTCTTTAAATTAATTAATCTTTTTAAGTAAGGCCTTGGTTGAAATGAAAAAGTTAGTTTAACGAGCGGGGTTCGAACGAGATCGTGGGTTCGAATCCTGCTGCTCTGTCTGCGCTAATTGAAAATCCTCATGTTTCACTATCGACTGAATCCTATTAATAAAGACGAAAAACCGATTCAATTAGATTTGAGAAGAATCAATTAGATAAATTATAAATTAAAATGACAAGAACCGTTCACAAAAGAGCCTAAAACGGTCGCATATTATACTTCAAAACCATCTGCTTCAATCTGAAGAACAAACATGCATTCGATTAAGTATGGCTTCCAAAAGGCATTTTCGTTGAAAGGCACACATTTCTCCATCATTAAGTCCTTACTCTCGGACCCTGGTTTTAAGAAAGAATTTGCTCCGATTATTCACTCATGCTAATCAAAACAGACAACAAGGAAGTATCCTAGTAGTAAGCTGACAAAACTACACATTCTAACATAGAAATGACAACTTACGCGAACGACACCGTAATAACCACATTCCGGACTCTTCACAAGGAACCATTAAAAAAACTAGACTTCATTGACTGATGGTGTGCACACACGTTGGCGCATCAATTTAAATGCGCAAAAAAAAACTGTCGGCAGACCTATCCACCAGAGCATATGACACAAGGTTTGTTCCCCTCCAACCATGTCTTTACTTGAACATATGTACATGGAATACAAATACTTGACTAATAGACAATAAAAAATACAGGCAACTCAGAGGCCTACTTGGACCGAAATCTGCACTAAGTATTCTCATAAAATTAATCGCACATCAGACCGACGCCGTTTTCGACTCGTGACCTTTCCTAATTCCTCCTAGTCCGAACTTAAATAACAAGGAGTTCCACCCCTAACTAGCACCTCTACCCGCCCATGGACTGACAGATCAACCAGATTTGTATATGTGAACTGTATATTTTTGTTCAGATAGCACTCAACAAATTAATAATTTAACAAAAATCATTTGCAGATTTATTTATTGGGTTCCAACGGAGTCCCTGAACGTGATCCGCTCTATATTCCAGTAAGTTCTTGCTTTCGTGGTTATTTTGGTGTCTGCATTTTTGTTATTTTTTGTAGAATGAAGAAGCATCTGCACATGATGCGTCTAATCAGGAAGAGAATTTTTTCAAAGAAGAAGTAAATATTTATTAATATTAACGTAATTATAGAGGAGTTGGATCGGTGTGGAACAATTTTCGGGGAGATACTTCATCGAAAATGGAGTAGAATGCGTCAAGAGAGGGTGTCCTACCTCTGTTCAATACGGAGTTATGCTTGTTCTTCTGTTTTTCGAAAAACTCGGACCTTAGGCCGTTAAATCGCGTTTCTCAAACTTTTCCCTAATTTATTTGCAGTTTTGACGCCTGTTTCGGAAAGTCAGTAAATCTCCTTTAAGCTTACACCATATGCATTTCTTAAATGTTAAATGTCATTTATAACAAAGTAAATGTAAAATTTAACAGAAATCTGGAATTTTCAGAGGAATTACAAATAATCTTAGAGACTGTCACATCACCCAAACGTTTCTTCATTTAATACGCAGTCTAATGATTTATGCATTACTGTGATTGATACTTTTTTGGGAGGAGAAACCAAGCTTCAAAGGTGAAAAAGCGTGGTCTCGGTTGATGGAATGGGTGGAAGTAGTTACCATGTTTGGTAACTAACTTTCCCCTCTTTTTATTCTCATTAAAAAAAATGCACATTAAACAGTAATAATAACAATAATGTGTATTCAGAAGAAAATTTACTAATAAACGGCCTTCCTCTGTCCCTGATGCACAACATTGCTCGTTTCCGAACAGCTCCCACATTAACTAAGAGATTTAACCTCTCCATAAGCTTTCGTGCTGTAGCAATTATTCTTCTCTGTAATTCTTCTTTGTAGATGACCAGTACCTTGTAGACTTGTTTGAGAAAACCCCAAACGAAGCAGTCCGCAGGGTTGAGATCAGGAGATCTCGGTGGCCATATAATAGTATCACCTCGTCCCATTCTACCCAGGGAACCGTGCAGACAGGCAATTTTGATCAAATTTTGTCGTGAATACATTTTTTTGTATCTAAAATGCGAACATGATAAACTACTTCCACCCCCTTCCCACAACCGAGACCACGTTTTTTCACCTTTGAAGCATGGTTTCTCTTCCCAAAGAAGTATCAATCGCAGTAATGCATACATAAAAAGGTTATTAAATGAAGAATTTGTCTGTGATTTGGCAGTATCTAAGATTATCTGTAAAAGAGAAACAAACTATTGAATTCCTCTGAAAATTCCGAATTTTTGATCAATTTTACCATTCCTTTGTTATACATGACATTTAAGCGTTTCGCAAAGAAATGAAAATTCCGAAACGGCGTCAAAACAGCAAATAAATTAGGGAAATGTTGGGAAAACGCATGTTAACGGTATAAGGTCCGATTATTTTCGAAAATCACAAGAACAATCATAACTCCGTATTGAACAGAGATAGAACACCCGCTCTTGCGGCATTCTACTCCATTATCGTTGAAGTTTCACTCAAAAAATGCTTTTCACCCTGATCCAAATCCACCCTGTATATTATTAATTTAATCATTTCACAGCCTTCCGACACCCAAGGGCGGCATCTCCGGCCTCACAAGACTATTAACTATGCCAAGGTGATATGGCAGCCAATGTGTACTTAAAAATTTAAACGATCAATTTGTCTTAAATAAGAATATTTTCAGATGGTAAACCATGATCTCCAGAGAGTTCCCTCTTTCAAATACAGCGATGTGAGATTTGTTTAAAAAATAGTCAGTATTATTTATTTTTTATTGGCTCCTTATTCCCTTTTTCAGGTGTTCATAAAGAATGTCCATCCGAGCCAAAGAAAAAACCTAGCGATGCAGCCGCCTCCTCAAATAAAAAAGCGTAAAGTGGGCGGTAAGTGTCAATTTTTCGTTGTTATATTATCTTAAGATCGAAATAATATATTTAACCTATAGTATTCAAACACATTTCCTTTTCAATGTGAAGTAGAAATTTATAAGCATTGCATTTTTTTAAATTTCAAATTTTGCAAGAAAAGCCTAAACTTACAATTCAGCCATGATCAGCCTAGGTTATAATTATTATGAAATAAAGCTTCTAGTTAGTTACTTCATCATAATTAATTTAATAAAAATCATTTCATGTCACATTAAAGTATTGCTTCTACGTGTTTTCTTTTCTAGTTATTTCACTTGTAACGAAAGTGTAAAAGTATCTTGTTTGATTTCAGGTCCGACCCAGAAAATAATAAATGTTTTGAGCGAAATCAAAGCACTTGAAGAAAAGAGGTACCAAGAGCAACAAGAATTAACTAATAAAATCGCTAAGGCTGTCGAAACTCTGGCCACCGGTCTCCTCCAGACAATCAGGAACCTTTCAGAAACTGCAAAGCGTAACGCTGAAACGATCGAAGAACTAAGTGCAAAGTTAAAACGAACCGAATAAACTGTATAAATCAATGATACTTTTGTAATTTCTTAATTATTAGTTACAGTTAGTTATATTATATTACATACTCAAAATACACTTTTTCAATCGATCCTGGTCAATCCCTCTCCAGTACTTCCCATCCCAAGAGTCCCCCAGACGCCAGACCCCGACAAAAGCTTGGGGACATGTCGAAAATGCACCCGTGCAGTACTCTCTGATCTCTAAAGCAGTGAAAATAGTGTCAACATGACTTGACCAACCACTGAATCGTGAATTGTCAAGGACGGGAAACCAATCAAGGACCTGGTGTAAAGGAAACATTGACCTGTACCATTTATTTATATACTACTGTTTCTACGTTTTCAAGATAAACTCAAACCGTACAAGAAATTTTTCATGCCACATGCTCCTCGGATACATCGAAGTTTCAAAAAATACTGATAGACATGATATAGCGGAGGAGAACAGGCGATGATCACTTCAAAATAACAGCATTTTCTTTTTATGAGAGTATTTCAACACATTCGGGAAGCCGGTCGTGTTCGGGTGCAGGGCCCAAGGATTCGAACTCTGGACCTTTGGCTTACCAATAATGAGCGCCGTGTCAACCGTTACGTACACCGACGCTCCTTGAACAACCAAATTATTTTTTGCATTTATTGTTCATTACAGCAAGACTAAACTATATTTATACTAAACTTTTAAACGAGTTGATATATTATGCGTTTTTGTTTATGAAAATGATAATTCTTCTTCTCCCCCGCATTCGGTCCCGATATTGTAGAATTTCAAACTTATCTTTAAGTTAAAAGGCTCGCTATTTTGTTTAACAAAGGAATGCAATTATTCCTACTGACGTGCCCCTTAGCAGAAGGGGTCAAAACCGGCAGCAAATCCGTTTAATTGTACCACAGACCTCCGGGAAATTTACTGGATACCTGCCTGATAAATTAATTGGAGGGAGCTAATTCAACTCACGTGTTGAAGTAAAGAGGAGAGATGGGAAACATTTATTTTACGACTGATTACCATTGAATGGAATGTAAATAAGGTTTACAAATTGTGCTTCTGTTTCGTACCCAAATTATTGCCGCAATCAACACTGGTCTATAAGAAATATAATTAGGCGTTAATTACATTAAGTTATCAGTTGTACAGTCATTTCACTGTTTTCATACTAAAATCAATTAAATTTAGCCTTAAAAAATAGGTAATTTAATTAATGAGAATTGAAACTTTTTTTAACCAACAAGAGCTTTCATTTCAAGTAATGAAATTTCTATTTAACAGAAAATCTAGCTTTCTACATTTTCCTCATTTGGAGATTTTCATCTTACTCTTCTGAGCTTTTACGCTGAATGATTTTGTTTTATACGATTTATGTTTTCTCATTACGAAATCATTTGGAGTGCAAGTATTTCTTTTACGACAAAAACCTGACAACCTATAGAAAATTCTGAGTTCTGGGAAAGTATAGAAGAAGCAATGAAATATCTCCCTATTGATGAGATCATGGAGTAAGATTAAAGGAAGTAAGTGAATAAAGGGATTTGAGATAGTAAACATAAAATAACTCATAGATAAAGCAGGGAGGGAGGGGCAAAACGAGGTCATTAGTAGACAAACAAGCTCTTTCACTAGTTGGTAGAAAAATTTTGGCCTTGGATCTAGTAATATATAATACTTGAAGGCGAGCAAGAAAAAACACAACTGGGAACTGAAAAAATAAGGGAATAAAGAATTGTATGAAGTATTCTCGGGAGAAGGAGAAGTTATTTATAAAGAATAACGGAAGACGTATTAAAGGCGCGAGATACTTTATGGATTTACTTGTGGAAAATCAAATCTTATCAAAAATCTAAAATAGAACCATAAAGAAACTTAAAATAAAAAACTAACCACAAAGAAAAAAGCATTTGAAGACAAATTTCCACAAAAATATGTAATTCTATGACATTCAATTTATCTATTTTTATATTTTTATAAAAATGTCTCGATATTCCATGTTCATACAGAACGTTGTCCTGTTTCTTCTTTAATAGGAAAATGCATATGATAAAATTAATCAAATAGATTGAATGGTTTCGTGGTCCGATTGACCAAATAAATTCTTTTCAATTAATCTTTATGTAAGGTATTGGTTGAGATAAAAAAAGTCGGTGTCACGAGCGGGATTCGAACCCGCTGCTCTACCACTTAAGTAATCGTGACTTCGATCCGCTCGGACACCAACTTCCCATCTCAACCTCACCTTTTGAATTTTCCCTCCTTTTTGCCATTTTTCAAATGTTGTGTTATCTATTTGATTCTCGGCGACAAATGAAATGGCCACGGAGAGCTATAGTGAAATATACTTAATTTTGCTTATTAAATTGATTAGGTTTCGTGGTCCGATTGACCAAATAAATTCTTTTCAATTAATTAATCTTTAATCTTTTTTATCTCAACCAACACATACTTAAAGATTAATTAACTGAAAAGATTTTATTTGGTCAATCGAATTCACGACAGCACAAGAGGAAGAGCAGCGGCGTATTTAGATCGTGGGTTCGAATCCCGCACCTGACACCAACTTTTTCATCTTAACCAATACCTTACTTAAAGATTAATTAATTGAAATCAGCCAAAAAGGTTACCTATGCATCTCCTGTTGATTGGCTTAATTTATTAGTTGGATTGTAAAACCTGTTTTTATCACTGCATATGTAAATATATTTGAAAATTAACACGCAAACATTAATGGCAAAGAATATAAACTAAACAAATACTCGTCCAGAAGCTAATACGATGATAGCACTCGTTCAAATAATAACTTTCTTTTGCACTCTGTGAAAAGGTCGCGGGCCCATTGTCTTTTTAGATGTTAAGAAGAGATCGGAGAAAGGTTGAAGGACGTATGGAGTGAAGTGTAACTAGATATTACGGTTAACAATTTTGTATCAAGAAATAACGGCTTAGCTTTTACTAAAAAGGATGTTTTTGTTGTATGTCGGTTTCTAGCATATAGGGCAGTAATGAATATAATATCTTAATATTCCTGAATGAGAGCATCCAATTATATATGACTTTTTATTGTCAGGGGATAATTTGGATCTGTTGTCAAGTGTCGGAAGCGTCGGTTCAGTTTTGTCCACTGTGTTCGAGGTGTTACGAACGACGTTTTTGGCAAGAAGGTGACCGAGAATGTCTGAGGACTAGAGGAAGAACTTTTATGCTTGGACAATAGTGGAATCCTACTCAACCTCACAAAAAACAGCAATAATCTCCATAACCTATTTATTCATGCTCCCCTACGTTTTACCCACTTCCCAACCCTATGAATAATCACTTATATAAAGATAATCCTTAAAACAATCATACCTGCCTATTATCTGATTCTGGAATACAACAGTTGCTCCTCCTATACAGGGTTTTCGGCTACTCGTGTTACAAACCTTTCCAGTAGATTCAGCATTAAAAATGGAACTAGAACGTCCTATTAACTGTGGTCTAAATCTCAACAGTTTCGGAGTTATTTCCCTTTTTCTGGTTTTTTTATGATTTCAGCCTTGCGTCAAATAAACAATGATAAGTTCAGAACTAAAAGGTATTGGACAAATTCGTTGAGACGATTGAAAATTATTTTATCTTCCCACTAAGATGTGATAAATACTCAACTTGTAAACGGTGGGAAAATAAGCGTTTTAGAAGCCAGAATTTTGAAAACTATATTTTTTCTTTCAAAGTTGAACAATTTACTATGGTGGTTCTAAACTACTATGTTCAAACCTAAAGACCAGAAAATTTCAGAAAACTACTCTATTTAATATTCGTGAATTGCTTTTTTTAATTACTTTTTTCAAAGATGAAGAAACTGATGAAGGAAAGGAAAAAAACCGTGGTTGACGAACTGGTAAGGTGGAAAGATTTAAAAAAAGAGGACATTTTTATGAATTTATTATAAGTTGTTTAGTTTGGGTTCGAAATCGAAATAGTGCAGTGTTTACTTATTTACCAACAAGACTCCAACTTTGATTAAAGGATTATTGTATTATTATTCCCAGGAATAAAAGAGTTTTAAGATTCAATACGTTTTTAGGTATCTATGTGATATCTTGTTAACACTATGGATACCTTTTTACGATTAAAGTAGAAAGATTAAAATCTTTCCACCAATCCGTCAATCTCGGTTTTTTCCTTTCCTTCATTAATTTCTTCCTCTTTGAAAAAAGTAATTATAAAAGCATTTACACTACTAAAAATGTTATTAAATGGTGTAACTTTTCTGAAATTTGCTGGTCTCTAGGTTTGGAAATAGTAGTTTAGAATCACCCTAGTAAGTTTTTCAACTTGGAAAAATATTTCAATTAATTAAGGTTTTTAGTTGAGATAAAAAAGTCAGTGTCACGAGCGGGATTCGAACCCACGATCTTCGGCTAGATACGCCAAATGGCAACAAGGAGGGAAAATTCAAAAGGTGGGGTTGAGATAGGAAGTTAGTGTCCGAGTGAATCGAGGTCACGATAGCTCAAGTGGTAGAGCAGCGGCGTTTCTAGCCGAAGATCGTGGGTTCGAATCCCGCTCGTGACACTGACTTTTTTATCTCAACTAAAAACCTTAATTAATTGAAATATATGAATTGGTCAAGCGGACTACTAAAACTAGTGAATTTGAAAAATATTGTGTTTTCAAAGTTCTGGCTACTAAATCGTTTATTGCACCAACCTTTACAAGTTTAGTATTAATCACATCTTGTTAGAACTTTAACGTAGTATTTAATGGTATGAACGGATTTGCCTAAAACCTTTTAGTTTCGGAGTTATCGTTGTTTTTTTAAACAAGTTCATGAAATCTTAAAAAATCAGAAAAAAGGAAATATCTCCGAAACCGTTGAGATTCGGACCATAGTTAATTAGCAGGTTTTGATTCCATTTTGAATGTAGAATTTACTGTCAAAGTTTGTATCACGAGTACCCTAACACCCTGTATATTTTCTCATTATTCTTAATCACCCGTTCTGTTTTCGGAGTTGCCAGTCGAATATCTATCAATTGGATCACGATGTAGACTTCACTGCTACCGCCTTCGCGCAGCAGGAGTATTGCCTGCCTAAACCTG